TCGATGGTGCCGTGTCGAGGAGCCTGGATGACGCTGAAGACGATGGACTCCGCCTGGAGGAAGGTGGTGTAATAGGAGGGAAAATGCAGGGAAAGGAAGGACGGCGCAGTGATATCGCCTGCAATGTCTCCCTAGGATGAAGCTACATAAAGAAGCAGTGTTTGTTCTCCACAACCAACAAACCAGCAAAATAGTGAGAACTCAAATTCAGGAATCAGCTTCAAAATATCTATAGTGGCGAACCTTAACATCACTTTTGGGTGTTATTCTGTAAAATTCTACAATAAGGCAGTAGAAAATAAATCTTCAAGTTTTTACTGAGAATACAGAACAATACAGATTTATGGGATTAACAGTGTTGGATTATCCTTTAAACCGGCTGCTTAGTTTAGCCAGCTTAGGTAATGATCTCAAAATAAACATTCAGAGGTCCAGCTCTTTTCTAAACTGGTAACTGTAGTGCTTTGGGATGATTCCAAACATGATGCCAATTAGTTCACAAATCATACCAAGCTTCAAAGATATGATCTGTTTGTATTGTGCAGCTCATAAAGAGAATCAGATGCGTAAAGAAGGAAAAAGGCAAATAAGCTCATTTAAAGTACTTCATACATATTATTAACTCTACAATATATGCAGCAGAGGATGGAGAGCAACATTTGCTTTAGTTTAGCCTTAATTAAAGGAGAAGTATGAGCGTGCATGCTGAAGAAATCAGCCCTTGAATGCTGTATTTTGACCTCAGTTAAACATTTGAAAAGTTTTGTTTTGTTTTATTTTAAGACCTTCTGAAGTGCTCAAAGCGTCTCTGTTGTAGTACCTGCCACAGAAGGTGACACCGATTCTTGTCATAATGTCACGCATATACTGTAATTAAAGCTGTGAAAGATTTGCAGAAAACGTATGTAGCCAGTGTGTTACCTCTGTGTCCGCATCGGTGGCTTTCAGCTCAAACTCAGTGATGGTTTACTCCCACCCTCCTGCACCCTCATGCCAGAGACCTGAAGAAGAGGCAGGGAGTCGTCCACAGGCTTGATAGTGATGTAGAAAGTCTGAGCAACCTGAAGACAAAGAACAATAATAACAACCTATGAGCGATACACATATATGTGTAACCAAAACTACATTCTACCAGCAACGTCCTACTTTTCACTGAGAACTTTCTCAACAATTGAGCAAATAGAAAAGTCTCATTGTGATGAAAAAGTTT